AATTTGCAAAGCCATTTGTAATTCGCTCTCCATTCCGATTTTAGTTTTGCTACCACCACTACTTGGACTTTGGTTTCCATCTCAACTTTGAGTGTAAACTTCGACTTGGACTTGGGATTTAAATTCCGACTTTGGATTTGGTTTCCAACCCGATTTGGACTTTGGCTGCCATCCTGACTTGGGGTTTGGTTTCCATCCTTGGACTCCACCCTTGGGCTTATCAACTCGACTTTGGGACTTCACCAACCTTGCATGACTCATCAACCCACCGCAAGCTCTCACTCTTTTGGCTAGATTTATTTAGGCTCCCACTCTTTTGGGTGGATATATATATTCTAACATAATCATGTTAATGTGGGGAAACACTTGTGTGAAACATGGATAACATTGTGAATCACCGTAAGCCATGCATGATAACTTTTCTACGTGGCAGTCTGTTATTGGTTGAGAATAGCAAAACAATATTATCTCCATTTCACACAAGTTTTTCTGCCAATATTAGTCTATATAAACTGTGCATATTAAAGAATGGTCACCCATGAATGAAACTCCTATTTTTGGTGAAGCAATTTGGTTGTGGATAAATTTGCAAACCTGGGTGTTCAAGACACTAGCTACCTTCTATGATGAACTAATTTTGTTTGATAATTACCAGAAAAATACACAAACATATCACATATGTTTACCAAGAAAAGATACACAAATATAAGCGCAAACAGATAATTATAAAACTTGATTAATTAAGCATGTTCTGCTAACCTTCTTGTGACTGCAGAGAGTACTGAGGAGAATGCTATTGTTGTAAAAGAGAAAGAGAAAGAGAAAGAGAACGAGAAAAAGATAGAGCAATGAAGAGTGATATATTTATCAATTCTAAAAAAGTAATTAATTAGTCATATGAGAGAGAGAGACCAGACCAAGTGACCCATCACCCACAATTGTAGAATCATGGCAAATATATATTTTTTTAAAGCGATGGTCCAAAATACTCTACGGAAATGAGGATAGTCTACTAGTGTAACCCACAGAATCATGGCACGTTCTAAGTAGATGTTATATGATCATCAAAAATTAAGGGGGTGTTCAACAGGTTAAGGTATATGGGAAGGGGTTATGCTAATTAACAGTTGGTTAATTAATTGGATCCATAAACAAATGGGTGGTTGGCTCTAATGTCCATATATAATAGGAACACGACTTTTTGTTTGGGCTAGGCCACCTGCATTACTATAATAAAACTAATTATCGATAATATCGATAATATCGTGATATGAACTTTCAAAAATTAAAGAAAACTCACTTCACGCATGCAGGTAGGGGTGACATTTTAGACCGAAAAACCGAAAAACCGCAAAAACCAACCGACAATTTACCGCAATGGAACCGCAATCGCGGGAAACCGAATTGCATTTGCGGTTGCGGTATTTGATTTTCAAAACTCGCGGTTACCGCAAACCGCGACTATATTTTTATTAAAAAAAATTATATAAGGAAATTGAACATATGACAACTTGTAAGTAATTAGTTTATTTATGCTCATGTTATTTATGCTTCTTCTTATAATAAAATGTACTAAACTTATGTTGTTTTATTTGTAGATAGCATTGGTGCTCAAACAACACAACGGGGTCCTTCAAATCCACTCACCACCACCAACACTTGAGTTTGTAACATTGGTGCATTGCATTTTCCTTTTAGTTTGTAACTTTAATTAACTTTGAATTGGATTTTTCCTTTGGGTTGTAACTTTAATTCATTTTGCATTGCATTTTCCTTTTGGTTTGTAACTTTACAAAAATTCGCGGTTACCGAACCGCAACCACCCCTACATGCAGGGGTTCGAACCCCTTCCCATTCTAAGATCTATAACCACTTAACCACCACGCCAGTCATCACTTTGTGATAATAAGCTATAGAATTTGTATTTATAATACTTCTGAGCTGTTTCTTAAAATAGAAATTAACATAATTACTTATTGTTTTATATTGTTAATCAGTTACTTAATTACTTAATATAATTTATTTATTTTCTATTTAATCCATTTAATGTTATTGATTATTTTATTATTCATTATAAGTACTTACATTACTAAATTCCCCTTCAAATTGTTGAGTAATTACTTAAATCTCTATAATTATTTTCTTTATTTACTATTTAATTCTTCCTTGGATAAATTTATTTATGTTCTTAGTTAATTTTCAATCTTCACTATTATTTTTTAAGCATGGTAAAGTGCCTAATTTTCATGAAAAATCAAGTTGGTTTACATCTTTAATTATTTTTCAATTTTTGATAAATAATAAATATAAGAACGTGTACCATGTCCAGTGAATAATGTGAAATAAGATTATTCATGTATCTTACCATGCAATTTATAAAGTGTAAAATATTGTACTAAAAAATGATAAATAAATTACTAGGGGGTGTTTAATTCTCTTTCATTAATTACTCCAGATTTTCTAAGTCACAGAGTTTGTCAGCTCGCAATATAATCAACTTAAATCACTCAAACCCACTATGCAATGCATTTCCTTCCAATTTTTTGTGTCAAAATAATAGATAATTGACTAAATAAACTTCTTCTAAAGTTTCATTAAAAATTTTCATATATTTATCACAATTTCCGTGGTTTTTATTCAATTTTTATCAATATCGATATTTTCCCGATATTTCCATCAATATTTTCGTGTTTTTGAACCACCGATATTTTCGAAACTATCGATATTTAAAAGTTTAAAACCTTGGTTTCATGTATACATCTTGAGAGCAGTTTTATATTACATAAGAGGGTTCTAATAAGGACATTGCAGCCAACGAAACAAAAATATAATGAAGACAGACGTGGAATATTACCATCAAATCCTAGACACATGTTCTGTCGACATAGATATTAATCTCCCTAGTGCCATGAACACTTGTGGAATTCCAGCACATATGATATGGGTATCTTCTAGTTCTTGATTTTCTGACTATTGTCGAGTCGACTCACTCCACAAATCATTAATTTTCAATACAAACAAGAAAGTCATTGTCACAAATTACGTAATCCAATTCGTTTTTACTGTTAATATTCCTTTTTCGACCCATAAAAGGAAAAAAAATTTCGAATTGGCTGACCCAACAACAATACATATGTTGGATGATTAAAAGACTTACAAAAACAAGAACAAAATACAAATTATTGTGTTTTCCCATTTACATGGAGTGGCTGCGTCTGTTGTTGTTGTTGTTGTTGTTAACATCGTTAGCAATAACAAATCATGTTTCATGTTCATGTTCATGGGATTTGGAGGCTGGTCCGAGTTTGGAGCTGAGTCAACTAAGTCGGGAGCTGCTGGACTCGGCGAGGCAGCCCGAGTTCTTTGATTGGTTGAAAAGGGTTAGGAGGAGGATCCACGAGAACCCAGAGCTGGCCTTCGAGGAGCACGAGACGAGTCAACTCATTAGATCGGAGCTCGACTCGCTGGGGATCCAGTACACGTGGCCGGTGGCGGAGACTGGGTTGGTGGCTTCTATTGGCTCTGGGGCACAGCCATGGTTCGCTCTCAGGGCCGACATGGATGCTCTCCCAATTCAGGTTTGCCAATATCCTCTCTCTTGAAAAGAGAGAGAGAGAAAGTTGCAGAGGGAGAGATGAGAAAGCTGAGAAAGAGGAAGAGAGAGATTCGAACCCAAAAAAAAATGAGAGAAGAGAAAAAAAGGAAGAAAAAGAAAGGGGTGCATTTTTGCTCACCACTTTAACCATAGATGTACCATCACCACCATCCTCAATGCTTGACACGTGTCCAAAAACATAACCATAGTTAACTTTTGCTTTGTATTTATGGAATCATGATTACACCTATGGACATGTGTCAAGCATTGAGGATGGTGGTGAGGGTACACCTATGGTTAAAGTGGTGAGCAAAAATGCTCCCAAAAAGAAAGTATGCGTGTGAATTTTTTTAATTTTTTAATTGTTTTTAGCGATGGGAGGTGGAACACTTTTCTTTTCTTCCTGGATTTGAGAATTTTTTTAAGTTTTAATTTTGTTAACATAATATTAGTGAAACGTACAGCAAAAATAAAAAAAGATTTGATTGATAAAAACAAAAAATAGTGAAGGTGGGAGAAGTAAGGTTATTTAAGGTTATTTTATTTATTTTTTGTTTTGCTAAGTGGGGAGGTGGGGTGGTTCAGGTTGTTTCATTTTAAATTGTTCTAAAGATAATTCTAGTTTTTACATTGTTCTAAAGATAACTCTGTATTGATTGGGGTTTTGTTGATGATCATTCAGTGAATGTAGCATTATCAAGCGCATTTGTGGATTAAATTTAGTGAATGTAGCATTATCGAGGTCATTTGTTGAGTAAATTAAGCGAATGTAGCATTATCGAAATTTATTATATCGGGTTTTGGGTTTGTTAGGAATTGGTTGAATGGGAGCACAAGTCCAGGAACCTTGGAAAGATGCATGCTTGTGGGCATGATGCTCATGTAACAATGCTGCTTGGAGCAGCTAAGTTACTTCAGAGCAAAAGCAAAGAAATAAAGGTAACCCAATTGAAATATGCTCAAAGTATACCATTTATGCATTGCTTAAGGTTTTGCATATATTTGTACAATTTTATAGGGCACAATCAAGCTTGTTTTTCAACCTGGAGAAGAGGAACATGCAGGGGCTTACCATATGATAAAAGAGGGTGCTCTTGATAAGATTCAAGGCATTTTTGGGTTACATATTCAACCTCTAATGCCCGTTGGTACTATTGGTTCCAGGCCAGGTCCATTTCTTGCAGCCTCTGGTAGATTTTCAGTCACAATTCATGGAAAAGGTGGGCATGCTGCTTTTCCCCATTTGGCCACAGATCCAATTCTTGCTGCCTGCTCGGCCGTCCTTGCCCTTCAACAGCTTATTTCTAGAGAAACAGACCCTCTAGATGCCAGGGTATATAATATATGCATTTTCTCACTGGTTTTCTTGTTTGTTATGGTTAGTTTATACATGAACATTGTGTGAGAAGTAGAATTCTAAAATGGGGTATATTAGGGGCCGTTCGGTTAAGTTTTCAGCGCCCGTTTTCATTTTCTGAGAATGAAAACAAACCAAGAATCCGTATAAAACAGAAAACAGTGAGAATGTTTTCATAAAATGAAAACAACATAACGTGTACTTTGGAAAAACAGAAAAAATATGTTTTCATTCTCACAGAAAACAAACTCCTAAACCATAAACAGAAACCCACAACCCCATCACTCTACCCAGCAAAACAGAAACGAAACGAAAATCACACCAAAACATAAACCAAAATCAAACATACCACGGCCACGATTGTCAGACCATCATCATCTCAACCGCCATGACTCTGCCATTGCCACCAAACCTCACAGACCCAGTCCCCACATCACCACCACCTATCAAACCCAACCGACACCAACACCAACACCATGCCAATGGAATCACGACCAACACCCAATCGAACCCAATACACATCTCGCCACCTAGTAAAAAAGCAATCGACCCCTAGCACCTCCACCACCCATACCCAATCAAAGCATCACCATCGCCATCACCTCCCAATTAAGGAGGGGGGAAGGGAGAGAGAGAGAGAGAGAGAGAGTAGCACCTCCACCACCCATACCCAATCAAAGCATCACCATCGCCACCACCACCCAATTAAGGAGAGAGAGAGAGAGAGAGAGGTGGGTTGGTGGGATTCATGCCATGGAAGGAAGGAGTGGGTGCAGCGGCATGAAGAGATAGTAAAAAAGAGGGAAGGGAGAATGAAAGAGAAAGTAGAGGAAGAAAGAAAGGAATGGCCCGGAAAGGGAGAAGAAAAGAGAAAGGAGAGAGGAAGAAAGAAAAGGAAAAAAGAAGAAAAGAGGAAGAAAAAAAAAGAGATAAAAATAAATTTAACTTTTAAAAAACAATATAACTTTTTATTTGTCAAATTATACTTTTAAAAAAATGTTTTTTAGAACATAAATTAGCAAAAATATGCTTAAAAAATAACTCACATATTATTTTTATTATCAAATTGTACTACCAGACACGTTTTCATTGTTTTTGTTTTCTGAAGATGTTTTCCAATTAATCTACCAGACGCATTTTCATTTCCTGAAAATGCAAATTTGTTTCTTTGTTTTCATTCTCTGAAAATATTCTTAGAAAACACTCTCTGAAAACGTTACCAGACGGGCCCTTAGATTTTTTCGTTTCGGACCGGTTATAGGTGGTTACTGTTGGGATGATTGAGGGTGGCCAAGCAGCAAATGTAATCCCAGAGACAGTGAGACTTAGAGGCACTTTTCGAAGCATGACTTCAGAAGGTCTAAACTACCTTCAGCAAAGGATTCAAGAGGTATAATCTGAGGTCTAATTTAATTTAATCCCGCCATATAATTGTTTTTACTTCAACAAAGCTGAGAAGTAACTGTTTAAGCTATGGTGGCAAAGAGCTATGACATGTTATGCACTTAGACAATCTGACATGTTATGTTGTTAGGATTTTCAGTTTAGACAACTGAACATGTTGTTAACTTATTATATGAGATGGAGCATAAATGCGTATATGATTGAGATGTTACGTTGTTAAAATTCTCAGTATAAACGATTGAGATGGAGCATAATTATGTATATGATTAGCAGGTCATAGAGATACAGGCTTCGGTGCACGGGTGCACAGCAACGGTAGACTTCATGCTGGAAAAAATGAAGCCCTATCCAGCAACAGTTAATGATGAAGCAATGTACAAACATGCAAAGAATGTGGGAGAAACTCTGCTTGGGGAACCAAATGTGAAGCTTGTTCCAATGTCTATGGGAGCAGAGGACTTCAGCTTTTACACAGAAAAAATGGCAGCTGCATTCTTCATGATTGGGACAAAGAACGAGACTTTGGACCCAAATACAATTTGGCATTCACCCAATTTGGTAATTGATGAGGAGGTTCTTCCAATAGGAGCTGCCCTTCATGCTGCTGTTGCAATTTCTTACTTAGATAATATTGATGCTGCTGTAACTTATTAGAAATCTTTTAACTAGTTTAGTACTGTTGTGTTTTTTTTTTAAAAAAAAAAAAAAAAACTGCTTCCGCTATGTTGTGAGAATAATCAGCTATGAAATAAATCAGTTAAGTATTTGATAAACTGTATTTGGAAAAGTGTTGTGAGTAGTCAAAGTGTTTGGTAAAATTGTATCAAAAGTACTTTTAGTATACATAATGACCAAAAAGAAACAATTACTTCCTTTTTTTTTGCCAAAAAGGAAATCAACTTCTCTACATATGCTTATCCTTTTTTTTAAAAAAAAAAAATGGCACTAGCATATGTAGAGAAGAAAAAAATAAATTTTTTAAAGGATAAGTATATGCATAGAAGTTGATTTACAGTTTTCTTCTTACTAGTTGATATTAGAGATAATTATATAAAATATACACTCTCATTATAGTTTAAACTATGTTTATATATATAAACAAACTATCAACGTATAGAGATCATTGATCCGAACTTACTTTATTGAAGCCGTTCATTACGCATTAGAATGTAACTCGGCCACAACAAACAAGATTTTCTTCTTACTAGTTGATATTAGAGATAATTATATAAAATATAAACTCTCATTATAGTTTAAACTATCGTTTATATACTATCAACTAATAGAGATCATTGATCCGAACTTATTTTATTGAAGCCGTTCATTACGCATTAGAATGTAACTCGGTCACAACAAACAAGAAAGTCTTTGTTAGTTTTGTTACTTTTAATATTCCTTTTTCGACCCCAAAAAAAAAGAGGTATATTTCAAACTGGACCAAACCCAACAACAATACATAGCTCAAAGACTCGCAAAATTTTCCAACCAAAAAGAAGACTCGCAATTTTTTTTTTTTTGGTTGCAAATTATTTCCGATTGCATGGAGTGGCTCCGTGTGGTGTTGTTGTTATCAACGTTAGCAATAACAAATCATGTGTCATGTTCATGGGGTTTGGAGGCTGGTCCGAGTTGGGAGCTGAGTCAACTGAATCGGGGGCTGCTGGACTCGGCGAGGCAGCCGGAGTTCTTTGATTGGTTGAAAAGGGTTAGGAGGAGGATCCACGAGAATCCAGAGCTGGCCTTCGAGGAGCACGAGACGAGTCAACTCATTAGATCGGAACTCGACTCGCTCGGGATCCAGTACACGTGGCCGGTGGCCAAGACTGGGTTGGTGGCTTCTATTGGTTCTGGGTCGCAGCCATGGTTCGCTCTGAGGGCTGACATGGATGCTCTCCCAATTCAGGTTTGCCAATATTCTCTCTTCTTTCCTAGAAGGTCAACAACCCCACAACAAAGTACCCAAAAAAACCCAAAATTATCCAGTCACATTTCCCCAATGGACCCATAACCACTTGAGATGGAGAGAAATTCCTTTTTGCTATCCCCGTCAATAACGTAATGATACATTGGATAACTTTTCCATGTGTGATTATGTTATTGACTAGGAATAGCAAAATTCAAGTAAGTGTTTTTCTTGAGGAGGGCCAATGTGGTTCCCACCTAAGCACTCTGAATTGATTGGATACATTTGATCAGTATTTTGAGAATCAAAATGGGAGTGAAAGACTGTAGCTAACATTGCTAACAAATTTGTATTTGAATTTACTCCAATGCTAAACTTCATTATTTTCCGTCTTTTTCTTTGACATGTGTATGCACATTTGTGGAGCAAATTTAGTGAATGTAGCATTATCGAGCACATTTGTTCAGCAAATTTAGCGAATGTGGTAGCATGATCGAAATTGATTATATCGGGTTTCTTATTTTTTAGGAATTGGTTGAGTGGGAGCACAAGAGCAAGAACTCTGGAAAGATGCATGCTTGTGGGCATGATGCTCATGTAACAATGCTGCTTGGAGCAGCTAAGTTACTTCAGAGCAAAAGCAAAGAAATAAAGGTAACCCAATTGAAATATATGCTCAAATCAGATATTTTCCTGTTGTTTTTTATTTTATATATATATACCATTTTATACATTGCTTAAGGTTTTTGCATATATTTGTACAATTTTTATAGGGCACAATCAAGCTTGTTTTTCAACCTGCAGAAGAGGGTCATGGAGGGGCTTACCATATGATAAAAGAGGGTGCTCTTGATAATATTCAAGGCATTTTTGGGTTACATATTCAACCTCTAATGCCCGTTGGTACTATTGGTTCCAGGCCAGGTCCAATTCTTGCAGGCTCTGGTAGATTTTCAGTCACAATTCATGGGAAAGGTGGGCATGCTGCATTTCCCCATTTGGCCACAGATCCAATTCTTGCTGCCTGCTCAGTCGTCATTGCCCTTCAACAGCTTATTTCTCGAGAAACAGACCCTCTAGAGGCCAGGGTATAAATTTTGCATTTTCTCGTTAGTTTTCTACTTTCTACTTTGTTATGGTTAATTTATACATGAACATTGTGTGAGAGGTAGTACTGTATATCGATTTCTTTTTCGTTTCGGACCCGTTATAGGTGGTCACTGTTGGGATGGTTGAGGGTGGCCAAGCAGGAAATGTGATCCCAGAGACAGTGAGACTTAGAGGCACTTTTCGAAGCATGTCTTCAGAAGGTCTATGCTACCTTCAGCAAAGGATTCAAGAGGTATAATCTGAGGTTTAATTTAATTTAAACCTGCAATATATAATTGTTTTTTACTCCAACAAAGATGGAGTTTTGACGTGTTACATTGTCAAACAGTTTGACATGTTATGTTGTTAGAATTCTTAGTTTAAACGATTGAGATGGAGCATAAATGTGTATATGATTGGCAGGTCATAGAGATGCAAGCTTCGGTGCACCGGTGCACGGCAACCGTAGACTTCATGCTGGAAAAAATGAGGCCCTATCCAGCCACAGTAAACGATGAAGCAATGTACAAACATGCAAAGAATGTTGGAGAAACTTTGCTTGGGGAACCAAATGTGAAGCTTCTCCCAATGTCTATGGGAGCAGAGGACTTCAGCTTTTACACAGAAAAAATGGCAGCTGCATTCTTCATGATTGGGACAAAGAACGAGACTTTGGACCCAAAAAGACTTTGGCATTCACCCTATTTGGTAATTGATGAGGAGGTTCTTCCAATAGGAGCTGCCCTTCATGCTGCTGTTGCAATTTCTTACTTGGATAATATTGATGCTGCTGTAACTCATTAGAAACTTTTAAATCTATTTCTGTGAATAACTCATAAATAATTGAAGTGGAGTTTTTTTTAAAAAGTCAAGTAATTGAATTAGAGTTGGAGAAGCAAGCCAATCAACAACAACAATAAATAAAGATGAAGAAGCCAACGGGGTCTAGCCTAGAGGTCTCAAATTCGAACCCCCATAACACATTTGTAGTGTGTGTGAGAACAATCATAACACTATCGCTTGTTATATCCCAGGCTCTTGCTTTGAGTGTTTGCTGCTTTTCCTATGGTGCATTTGGGGGTTCGGGTTTGATGGAGTTGGTGATACTTGGATTGATGCAGAAATTGCAGAAATTGCTTTGCACTCCAAAAACCTGACTACTTTTGAAAATGCAGAAATTGCTTTGCCCTTCTTCTCAGACTCTGCTTAGCTTATGTAGGAAAAGATTCCAAATTTTCTACCTCACGGAGCTTATTTTCAAAATCTTCTTTATATCCTCATGTCTATTTTGTTTTATATGCTGGCCTCGTAGCAGTGTTCATAAATAGATATAAAACAAAAAATTAGGACCACAATTTTGTACTTCCTAGATCATCTATTTGTGGCAGGGCTCAGTTTTAAGACAAATTGGGCATTGCATTGGGTCTTAATTTTGTAATGGGTGCATGAATCACTGCATCATGGAGGCTCATTTCCTCGCACATAAACAGGCACATAGATGCTTAGTTACACAAGTCAAAAGAAATATCGAGATTCGACTAAGATTCGTAACGGATCGATGTAGACCACAAGGGTATTTGTAGCATATTTAAAATCACAATAACTTTGACATATATAGGGTACACCATAGATTATTTTTTATTTGAAGCCTATATTTTCTTTTAACCTGCACTTCTAAAATTGCTATTGTAATTAGATTTCTGTCTGCTATACTCGAAGTATTTCTGTATTTACGTATAAAGAGATTATTTGGACCAAAAAAAAAAAAGGCCTTCTGGACTAGATAGTGTGACAATTACAAACAGAAACAACCCATTAACAAACAAACAAATGGAGCAGAAACTTTCAGACCAAAACAAAAGGCCAAAAATGGAAAGGGAGGTTTCAGGCCCAAAACTGTAAACCGAATACATTGCTTGAGGAGAAAAGCTTCATTCACTTTCAAATTTCACCAAAAAGCCAAAACTCTTTTCTTTCCACCATGGGGTTGATGCTCTTGTGCTTATTTTTGTCAACAATCTTGGGCCAGTCTCGTGCTCTGGAAGCTTCTGAGTCAGATCTCCCTAGTCAAGAGCTCGAGTTCTTGACTCGGGGACTCTTGGGGTCGGCTAAAGAGGCTGAGTTCTTTGAATGGATGAGAGGAGTGAGGAGGAGAATCCACCAGTACCCAGAGCTTGGATTTGAGGTGCACAGAACGAGTCAACTCGTCAGGTCCGAGCTTGACTTGCTTGGGATTGAGTACACGTGGCCTGTTGCCAAGACTGGTGTGGTGGCTTCTATTGGGTCTGGCTCCAAACCTGTTTTTGCTCTCAGGGCTGACATGGATGCCCTTCCACTTCAGGTTCTCTCTCCCTCTTTCTCTCTGCTATGAAACATTGACTTGTTGTTGACCAGAAAATGGAAACTGGGTACTGTTTTATATTTGGTTTTTTTTTTTTTGGGTCACTGATAAACAAAATGCACCCATTGAATTTGGAAGGAACAAGTAGAGTGGGAGTTCAAGAGCAAAATAGATGGCAAAATGCATGCTTGTGGTCATGATTCTCATGTGGCAATGTTGCTTGGTGCAGCCAAATTACTCCAAAGTAAAACAGACATATTAAAGGTACATATTCTCTTGTCACACTTACTGATAATAGCGTTTAGTCTCTATTTGAGTGGAGGAAGTTCCGAGTTCAAATCTCATGCAGGATGTAGATACCTTTTTAACAACAAACCCAAGTCATAAAATTTGATGTCTGTTTGATGCTTTGAAGGGAACTGTGAAGCTGATTTTTCAGCCCGGAGAAGAAGGTTATGCCGGAGCTTACCATATGTTACAGCATGGTGTTCTTAACGACGTTGATGCCTTCTTCTTTATACATGTTACGCCATCACTACGCACTGGTGTGATTGCTTCAAGGCCTGGTCCAATGCTGGCTGGTGCTGGCCTCTTTTCAGCCACAATCAGAGGAAAAGGTGGACATGCAGCTGCCCCACATAAGAACAAGGACTCAATTCTAGCAGCAGCATCCGCTGTGGTGGCCCTTCAACAGATTGTATCAAGAGAAACAAATCCTCTTGAGGCCAGAGTAATCTTTTCTCCTCCCCCTTTTAATGAAATTTGATTAAGCATATAATTTCACATGTTTTAATTTTCATATTCAAAACCAGTGACAGGAAGAGCCCATAATTCCATTCTTGGTACATTTGAACTATCAATTATGTAGGTGGTGACAGTTGGGTTCTTAAAGGGAGGTGAAGCAGGAAATGTGATCCCTGAATCTGTGAAATTTGGGGGAACTTTTAGGAGCTTGACTAATGAAGGCCTCACCTATCTCCAAAAAAGGATCAAGGAGGTAAAATAGGCAATCACTCTATGACCATGAATTTCCTCCATTACAATTTTCAATCGAATAAAGTACCAATTTTCAGTCGGAGTGACCTAACGGAAAAAGTATTGCAGGTCATAGAACTGCAGGCAGCCGTGCATCGATGTGAAGGTACAGTGGACTTCATGGAAGACACACCATTGCCTTATCCTGTAATGATCAACGACGAACCATTGTATGAGCATGTGAAGAAAGTTGGAGAGGCCCTGCTTGGGGAACCTAATGTGGAGCTTTGCCCAGTGATAATGGGGGCAGAGGATTTCAGCTTCTACTCAAAGGAGTCTGCTGCAACAATTTTTGTGCTTGGAATAAAGAACGAGAGTCTCAAATCAGATCAGCCATTGCACACATCTCACTTTGTCATTGATGAAGAGGCTCTTTCTATAGGAGCAGCTCTCAATGCTGCTGTGGCAATCTCTTACTCGGATACACATGTTGTTCGGACTCATTAAGACCTTGAATTTTGGTTTTCATTCAAAATCCATCAATGTAAATTGGCCTCTGAGTATCAAATAGAAAACATTTTGGATTTGTAGAAACTAAAAGCTTGAATGTGCCAGAATTACATTGAAAATTAATGAGACACCCTGTATATTGATTACTAATGGAACAGCCCATGAAGTTATCTACGCCAATAAATTGTAGTAATGATGCTTGAACTATACTGCAATTTGCATTTTCATCATTGAATTCCAGTAATAGTTGTTGTAGTCCTTCAACTTGAACTCAAGTTGCACCAATTTTTCTTTCCATCAACTCTGTTAGTGTTTTTGTCAAACTTAGGGGCAAATGACGAATTTCACAGATAACAAGGACGAAAATCCAAACCAAGGTATAATTGAGTGACAATAGCTACAATTTTAGTCTTTCTTTTTTTAAATACAACTAAAGGGGATTGAGCGCTTAACTTAACTTAATCCTCACTCATTTTCCCGACTCTCTCACCATTTGAGCTTAACATAAAAGCTCTCAAATCAATAACTTAATTCCTTGCTAGATCAGCATCTACCGTTCGGTCAGTACGAAGTTCAAGATTTCAATCATCTGTTAAAGCAGAGAATGACCTTCCTCTTCCATGACTTTTTAATGCTATTTCTCACCTTAACCAAGCAATTTTGAAGGGCATCTCAAAAAGTTTATCTCAGATTGGTTAATGCATGTAAGTAGGGTTTTCTATTGCCTCCCTATGACATGACCTTATTGAAAGCAAATCCTACCACTAGCTATTAAACACCAAAAATGTCAGTATCAATGTCACCCCTATTTTGCTCCATTACTTTACCAAGAGTTATTCTTCTTCTTTTTTTATCTGAACCAAGAATTATTCTTCTGCTTTCAAATTTGATCATTCATAGTAAACCAGCACTTCAAACTGACATATCAACCACATAAAAATAAAATGTTTTCCATTTTTGGCTAAACCAGCACTTTAATTGACATATCAACCACTCCAAAATAAAATGGTTTCCATTTTTGGGTAAATGCAGCTACTTAGTAATGAAAAGAACACAACTTTCTCAGGCACGTGTGCAAATCTGACCTACCCCTCTACTTGATCTCAATCTTAAAAGAGGCACACATTGTGTTTTTGGAATCTCAGAAGATATTTTTCAAATGGGTTTCAATTTCACTTTCTCCTTGTGCTTCTTGTTATCACTAAAAGCTGCACTCTTTCATCAAACTTGGGCTGAATATGGATCAGAGCTCGAGTTCTTGACTCGGGAGTTGCTGGAAGCGGCAAGAGATCTCGAGTTCTTTGAATGGATGAGAGGGTTGAGGAGGAGAATTCACCAGCACCCTGAGCTGGGATTTGAGGAGCACAGGACGAGTGAACTCGTCAGGTCCGAGCTTGACTCACTGGGAATTGAGTACAAGTGGCCTGTAGCCAAAACTGGGGTGGTGGCTTCTATTGGCTCTGGCGCTAAGCCTGTCTTTGCTCTTAGAGCTGACATGGATGCCCTCCCTCTGCAGGTTCTCTCTCTCTCTCTCTCTCTCTCTCTCTCTCTCTCTCTCTCGTACACAGAGTTGCCATAATTCTACTGCTTCATATCTTCAATCACTGTGCTAAGCAACCCACAAAGTAGGTCTCAACCTTACATTCTGAAAAAGTTGACATCCATTATAAAAGTATGCATGAGAATGTGATATGGAGCAGTTCATCATATATGCTTATAATAGTATGATATTTAGCCAAGTGTCACATTTGGGTCAACTTAGTTCCTCATGATTGCGTTTTATGATGAACTCCCTTTTGCAGTAGTAATTTTTAAGTAGCTGCTACTATTGATGCCTGATTCCTTGAAACCAATCTTATTTTGTTTGGAAGGAATTGGTAGACTGGGAATACAAGAGCAAGATTGATGGGAAGATGCATGCTTGTGGTCATGATTCTCATGTAGCAATGCTACTTGGAGCAGCCAAGTTGCTTCAGGACAAAAGAGATATGTTGAAGGTAGATGAAAATCTATATCTTATGTTATGTTTAACAGCCAAAAAACTACCAATCTACTTCTGCAGGTCCTAATATTTCAACATGTTATTGAAGGGAACTGTGAAACTAGTTTTCCAGCCTGGAGAGGAGGGTTATGCCGGTGCTTACCATATGTTACAAGATGGTGTTTTAAATGATATTGATGCCATCTTGAGTTTACATGTTTTGCCATCAGTGCCTACTGGTGCTGTAGCTTCGAGGCGTGGTCCAATACTTGCTGGTGTAGGGCTCTTCTCAGCTACAATACAAGGGCAAGGAGGGCATGGAGCATCCCCTCATCAGACAAGGGACCCAATTCTTGCAGCAGCCTTGACAACCCTTGCTCTCCAACAGATTGTGTCTCGAGAGACGGATCCGCTTGAATCCAGAGTACACTCTTAATTGCTTCCTCTTTTTCTGCAAATTTTTCTAAGACATTGAAATTCAGTTAAAAGCTTTTCATAAATGAGTTGACTACTATTGATGGTTTCGAACCAGTCAATACAATGGTTGACATTAGCCGTGATACAAGCCGAATAAAAAGTAGAATGAGGGCTGTCATTGGCTTTAGCATCTTTCCAGCAATTGACAACCAATAATTCTGATCCATCATCTTGTATCTTGTAGGTGGTAACAGTAGGGTATCTACAGGGAGGTCAAGCACTAAATGTGATCCCAGACAGTGTGAAACTTGGGGGAACTTTTAGGAGCTTGACTTCTGAGGGCCTCTCATACCTCAAAGAAAGGATTAAAGAGGTATACATGCCCTCCTTGTCCAAAGATTTTAAACGGATATTCAATCTAAGTAGGTTTCACTAAATACATTCCACTTACAGATCATAGAGCAACAAGCAGCTGTGCATCGTTGTACTGCGCTGGTGGACTTCATGGAGGACAGACCACTGCCTCATCCACCAATGACTAATAATGACGCGCTGTATGAACATGTGAAGAACGTCGGTGAGGTCCTTCTTGGGAAACCTAATGTGCAGCTTCTGCCACTGACAATGGGTTCGGAGGATTTCAGCTTCTTCTCGGAGAAGACTGCTGCTGCAATCTTTGTTGTTGGGATAAAGAATGAGACTCTGAAATCAGACCGAGACTTGCACTCGCCCTACTTTTTTATCGATGAAGAGGCTCTTCCAATAGGAGCAGCACTTCATACTGCAGCTGCAATCTCATACTTGGATGGCCATGATGATGTTAACACTCAGTAGGAACATGGTTCGCTCTACAATTCTAGAAATAAGAACAATAAAGATATTATAAAATAATAAAAAATTTTAAGAAAATGAATGCTGCAAATCCCGTCTTACTAAAGCACAAATGCAGTACTCATATCACTTGGTGATTGTGCTTGTGTGTAGCCTTACTTGGATAGCCATGGTGCTAAGACAGAGTAGGAGCGTTGTTCTATTTTCACTTTAAAAAATATGTAGCCTTAAACTCTTATACTTTCTCTAAGCACTCAGAAGTCAGAAGGAGAGAGAAAATTGACACACATAAAGCGCCAGCCATATCTAAACACAACATCTAATCACTAAAATTTGTTAATCAAACTCCAACTCCATAATGTAGACGTCAGAGAACATTGTCTGTCATCTGCATAAACTCTAGGCATTGCATCAAGAGAGTTAGCAAGAAACTCAGCCTTTTGAACTAATCCAACTGCGACCGCTTATCTTTTTAATTCCCTACTCTTCCATTTCTCTGCGGCATCTGATCAAACAGCCTGTGGGCCTCAACCAAATCCCCAACACTCGCATGCCCAGTGAGCAAAGTCGCGATTGAGGGCAAAAACGAACTGGGTAAGCTCTTGGGTGAAGCTAACGATGAGCAGAAGAGGATGGTAGGCATGAGATTGAAAAAAGGTTTGTGCTTTGCATGGCTTTGAAATCTCTTCTTCCTCGTTAGGATTTTCGTCGCACACAGACACAGAGCCTTCTCACCTGACGACATGTCGTTTTGTCCTCTCCTTATTCGCTGGTATAAATATATTAAAGAGACGCCGAAAACCGAAACACAAGAGAGAGATATATATGGCGGTGTGGTCGTATCCACCGACGCCCAAGCAGCTGGCGGTGACGGCGTGCTGTTTCGTGACGGGGGTGGCGCTGTTCGCCGTCGGAGCTCATCTTTCACTGGCCAACGTGGGCCCACAACAGGACCGGGTCAAGGCGCGCAGGAATTTCGTCAAAGACCGACTAAGAAAGCTCCTGGATGATTAATTGGTTTGATGCTTTTCAAGCATTGAATTTTGTTCCTTTTTGTCTCACAGTTGAGTAAGAAATGTTATGTTGTCAAGTTGTTAATTTCAACTCTTGATTAAGTGATGTTTTTTTGTTTTAAGTTACTTATGATCACCAAATGTCAATTCAACCAGCTGTTTGTTTGAGAAAGATGTCTCTGGTTCTTTTTTATGAATGCATCTCACCTAATTGCATTTGGTCCATTGATGGAAAAACATCCTTGTTGATATCAATCTTTCCATAGTTCAGATGTTCTTTAAAAACAGTCGAAAAAGATGCAAACTTGCACCTTTCATCTTCATCTTGGCCAAAAGCAAAAGGGAGAAAGGACTTGACCAGACCAGGCACTAGATTTCTTGCAAGATTAATGACATGTTCATGTAACTGACGTGGCAAAATGCAATCTTTTTTCAATTTTGTTTTCTCTATAAAATGATGAGGAGCAGTGGAAAAGACAGACACTTTACTATTTGAACTTCCTCAAAAACCAAAGAGAAACGCAAAGCTCTTGTCCTTTGCCCATAAGTCGTCTGCTCAGCCACATTACATGCATTAAGCCACTGCACCAACCAAAAGCAGAGAGAAAATTCAAATGGAGATCAATCAAACCTTACCCACCAACACACTCGCCATCACAGACTCACCAGAGAACCCTTCTTTACAAACTCAACCGCCACAACAACAAGAGCAGCAGCAGCAGCTAAAACGGCGTCGTTACATTGACAAGCATTCCACAGTGAACGGCCGTCACAGGCGGGTCAGAATACCCGTGACCTGTTGCCCCGGTATTTTCCGGCTGACCCACGAACTGGGTCACCGATCCGACGGCGACACCATCCAGTGGCTCCTCTCCCAGGTCCGACCCGAACTCGTCCTCCCTCCACAACCCAACAACAGGACCCGTCGGCTTCCACCCGACCCGGTTCCCCAACCCAATTGCAGATACCCGGGTGCAGCAGAAGATGGGATGGATCACAAGGCAGTGGCTCGTCTTCCGAGCCTCACTGTGAGGGCTACTGTGGTTCAAGCGTCCACTGTGTTCTTCGACACTCTAGCGACTCTAGGTAGCCACTTTGCCTAACTCTCTCAAATGAGTTGGCTTTGTTTTCATACATGGGGTCTTGTAGAGGTTTCTGGGGTTTATGGGATGCTTAAGATCTTTGTTTTCTTTATATTCCATGATTTGGTTAAGTGGGACCAGGATTTGTGGGTCAAAATATGTTCTTTCTGTATGAAGATTGGGAGATTAAGGGCCCACCACCCTCCTCCTTCCTTAAGATTGTGGACCTGAGGTTTTGTTATGTACTCTGGGACCTAGTCCTTGTAGGCCATTGCAAGTTCATATTATATTTTTTGATCCCCAAATATTTTAATTTCCCAACCATTTACAATTTGGGTTTCTGTCATTTGTGGGTTGTTGGCAGATAAAGCAGAGAGACTAGTTGCTGGTGCAGCTGCATATGGATCGCAATTGGTTGTGTTTCCTGAAGCATTTGTTGGTGGTTATCCCCGTGGTTTGATGTTTGATTCTGCAACCGCAACTCTTTCGCCGGAGGAGAAGCAGGCCTTTGAGAAGTACTATGCCTCAGCCATTGTTGTGCCTGGTCAGATTCCTTCCACAGAAGATGAAGTTTTCGTTTGAATGTGGTCTTCTGCATCATATTACCTTCTTGATTGTTCTGAATGTTAGTACGTGTAACATTTAGAATTGTTGATAAATCTTTCCCTCTATGTTTAGAAGTTCTCGGAACAATTTCTAGCTGGTTTATATCAAGTTTCTGGGAATCAAAAATGTTGGTATATACTTTGTAAGAAGTTAAGAACTATTGTAAATCTTTTCTCAGATGCATATAGCTGTTTGTACCTTTATATGTGATTGTCTTGGCCCCCGGCTAAAGTTGGAAGCTTGTGTAAATTTAGCTTTATGATAAACTATTGATTTGTTTTATCTAGTCAAACTCTTTGAATTTTCAGTTTTATGATAAATCATTGATTTACTTTATCTGTGACTGTTGAAATTCTATGTCATACATATAATACATTCTATCTTTTTTATTTGAATAATGAAGTTATCTTTGGTGTTTGATATGCAGGTCCTGAAGTGGACAGGCTAGCAAAAATTGCAAGTAAATATAAAGTTCACTTAGTAATGGGAGTAGTGGAGAGAGTTGGATTCTATCTCTGTAGCACAGTGTTATTTTTCGATTCATTTGGCCGGTATCTTGGAAAACATCCCAAGCTGCTACCACTGGCTTCAGAATCTCCAGTATGGTGTTCTGGAGCAAAATTGCCACTGTCTGTGTATGACACTGAAATTGGGAGAATAGGTGGCCTTGTTTGTTGGGACAACAGAATGCCAGATCTAAGAACTCAATTATATGCCAAAGGTAAATATGCTATCATACATGCTACTTAAAGAAACAGTCTTGCTTAGTGTTTTCAACTTTTCAACCAAAATCACCATGACCATCCAACATAAGAAAAGGTTCCACTCATCTGCCGCAGTCATGGTCATGATTTCAATTCCACTAGTTACTTTATCACCTTTAGAATACTAGGATTGTTTTCTTTAACATGGGACTCACTGGAATTTTAGTCCAAGAGTTCTTGGTTTCTGATCTTAGTTTCTTGCCCCTATATCATTAGGCATTGAAATATATTGTGCACCCACAGCTGAAGCAAGGGAGATTTGGCGCTCAACCATGACCCATATTGCCCTAGAAGGTGGCTGCTTCGTTCTATCTGCAAACCAGTTCTGCAGACGAAAAGACTATCCACTGCCACTGGAATGTGTTTCTGGAGATTCAAATGATGCGACATCCTTGGATATCATATGTGCTGGTGGGAGTGTCATTGTTTCCCCATCAGGAACCATATTGGCTGGACCTAATTACCAAGGAGAATCCCTTATCTCAGCTGATCTAGGTATGAACAATTTGTTTCAGAAACATGTAAATCACAGTTAGGATGATATGCAAACAGCTATCTCTCTCTCCCTCACACACACACACACACACAGTTGAGATGATATCTAAACTACTATTTGATGTTCTTAGATCTTGTAGAGATTGCTCGAGCAAAACTAGAATTTGGCGGAGTTGGGCTTGGGCACAACGCAGGGCCAAATGCTGTTGGTTGGAGGAGGACGAGCATACCGAATCCCGATTTGTTTGCTGCAACCGTGAAAACAGAAGTTTCTGATCATGCAAATGTGTTGTATGCATGACTCTAAGTCTACCTTGTAGTGCCCGGACTCTAACTACTAATGTAGACTCTGCTTGAAAATAGCCACCTTAATCTACTAGAACTAGGAAGTATCTTGTAGTAAGCTTTTGAACTTAGTGAGTGTTGTAGCCATGTAAATATTTTTCTCCACTTCATGCCTACCTATTAGATTATATTGTATAGTTGATCAGATGTTGGTTAGATTAATTTGAAGTTGTAACGACTCACGATCTTTTTTGCTCTGAATTTTGGCAGCTCGTGATCGAATCGGCCTCCCAAGCTGTATCACAATTTAAATTCATCCAAACAAAAACAAAAACAAAAACAAAAAAAACCATTTACATATTAGCATGAATTGTACAATGTGCAATGGCCTCCTCCACCTCCATGCATTATACATATTGACCTTGACCATTCCTAGATTTAAATAAGCTCATAATATAATATGAACAAATATTCTAGACTGCATTCCCCCCCTTGCGTTGCGTGTTTTTCGAATTAAATACTTAGTAAATCTAATCCATAATTGCATTAAATTGATTATAAAAGCCTTGGACGATTACATAGCTTTAATAAATTCAACCCTGAATTAAATACTTGGTAAATCTAATCCATATTTGCATTAAATTGATTATAAAAACCTTGGACGATTACACAGCTTTAATAAATTCAATGGGTTTCTCATTTCACAGTCAAAGTACCCCTGGAGGATGTGTGCATTTCAGCTGTCACTGCACTATTATAATGCTGTTGGGTGTTGGCTAATTATATGTTTGTTGGCTCATCCTTAGTAATCATACACAAAATTGAAAAGTTAGCCCCAAAAAACAACAAATGGCAAATGCATATAAGAGAAGAAAAAAAACCGAAGGACGAAAATTGAAAAGGAAATAACAAAAAGAGGAAGAAAAAAACAACAGCAAATATATAATATTTCTAGTATAAATTGAGACATACATGATACATACTAGAAGCTTTTGTACAGGACAAGCTCGCTAGATTATCACAGCTTTCTTCGAAAAATCTACAAAACAAGCATTTCAAGAGAGAATGGTCTAGCACAAAATCAGCAGAGATTGCTGCAACTTAGCAGCACCTGGTGATCACAAGCCAAAAGCATCGATGAGCCAAATCGTTTTCCACCAGCCTGGGCTTTTACAAAACCACCGTGGCAAAACAAAAGGCTCTGACTATGGCAAGGCATTGGCAAAAAAGAGAAATTTTCACCGTTTAGACCTTCTGCCATTCAGGCCTTCGCCTCTAGCTTCCCCTAGCCTGGACTTTGAACCATTGCCTTGCGCACTGGGAGGCCTATCTTGAAATGTACCAGTAGGATCCCGTGAAGGCCATGGCTGCCCCCATTGCCGTGTTGGACTAGCATGAACTCTAGCCGGTCCAAGCCTAGAACCAGACAACATTTGGTCCCTAAGACCCTTTGATGATTTATACCCTTGCATTTCGTCTCCGCGACCTTTTCCTTGCTCTTGTCTTTGCCTCTCCAGTTCAGGAAATCTCTCCCAATCTATCCCATCTCCTGAATTTTGGAGCTTTTCAGCTTGCATACCCCATTCCACTCCATCTGATACGCTTCTTTGCAAAGAAGTGCTTCTTCTTGGTGGCTTCCCAGATGTAGACTTCCTCCCTTTGATTTCTTCAACATCAAGTGCAGCCCACCTTGGATCACGAGCAGCTCCAGAAGCATGAATCAAGTTGTAGCTTCTGTTGTTGTTGCCCATGCTTAACTCTATGGAATGAAGATCACTTTCAGCAGAATCCTCTTCACATTCTATTCCATCTTCTACTTCTCCTCCATCCTCATCTTTTTCATCATCCTGATGGGAACCAAGATGAGCTCTGCTTAGATACGCAGAAATTTCTTCATCATTCAGATGAGCTGAACCACGTCCCTTTTCTTTGGTTCTCTTACTTCCCATAAAAGCTTCAAGTTGACTCCTCAATATATCAACAGCTGCATTCTTCTCCTCAAGCTGATGTTTTGCCTCTGAGAGTTTCACTTGAGCTCTCTCTTCACGCAACACATCTGCAAACTGCATCATCTCCCTTTCCTTCTCAACATCTTCCCGAACTTTTGAAGACTCCCTCTTCACTTCCTCTGCTTCAGATTTATCTTCATCAATGTCCCTGGCTAATTCATCACATACTTGTTCCATTATCTCTCTAGTTCTCTTCTCACTCTCAAGTTCTTTCACCGCCTTAACAAGAGAGGCTTTTGTCTCTGCCAGTTCTTTCCCAAGTTTCTTATTCAAGCTTTCAGACCTTCTTCTCAGTTTCCTCTCTACCTCAAGTTCACCTGCAACAGCCTCAATAGCAGCCTCAACAACTTTGTGCTC